CAAAAATGTAAATGTAAGATATTATAATACTCATGGTAAGAAAATAGAAAGAGGTTGAATTCAGGGATTTTACCAGAGCATAAGACAGTATATCAAAGGAAGAAGAGGATGGGTTAAAGATAAAAAGAAAGATTATACCTGTAATCTTGTTGGGCCTTTCTACTCTTTAAAGTCTCTGTACAAGATTTTATCACATGTTCTTTCAGTTACAGCCTGTTCAAGGGCCTCTCATTGTCTCTGAACTAAGAGCCTGACATGACCTACTTTTTAAGACAGGTGGTGTCATGGACAGATAAAAGTGCCAGCAATTTTGCAGCGAGTAGAGGCTGGGGAGCCTGCTGATCTGACTAGCAGGTGTTCTAATGCAAAGATCTGGGAAACGTCTGTATCAAGAAGAGGCCAATCTTCTTCAACATCCCAGTACTGAAAGGAACTTTCTATCACATTGGTAATATTAACAATTCCAAAGCAATGTAATGGCAGGTCCTTGATGTTGACAGGAAATAGTATAGCTTTAACACAGGTTTTGGTTGTTAGTTCCTGGTTCATATCTGTTTGTCTTAGCTCTCCTTAAGTTTAAAGTTTCTTAAGGATGTGGGCCATGTTGTCCTCACTCCAAGTACTCATCCCCTGGACACCAGCCATTATTCTTTGAATTCGATGGAACCCTGTTCCTACTCTTCTTCTAATGTGGGCAACTCTAGAATCCTGGTACATGGTTCCAACAATGTAGATTCAGAGTTCTAGAGAAAGAACTTTTAAATTCCCACAACCTTAACTTCCAGGTCCTTCTAGCAACCTGCTTCCAAGGTTGAACTCTGGATCTATAATCATCCAGGAGAAGAGTCCCACTCTGAAATTTCAAACCTAATATCCTAGTCTCTCAAAAGAGCCTCCACCGGCCAGGTACTCTCCTACCTTATCCCTTAACTCCTCTTCTTGAGCTTGATGAAGAGTGCTGGTCCCTGACTCCCTCATTTCTGTTGATTTCAGACCATTTATTCCTCATGGTTCCATTTGCCTTCCCATTCCAGTCTAGACACCACAGTATCTCTGTCCTATGTTGAATCCGCCTTGTTGGACCTTGAACCTTGGGTATGTCAGGCTGTCATCAGCCTTCTCCCCACTCACGTTCAGCCCACTGAACCGCTGCTAGAGGGAGACACACAGTCACTGAGGGTCTCTGCCACTCTATTGCCAATGTCAGCTGGACCTTTAAGATGCCTGAATAGTCATAAGTAATTCTTTTTATCTTCCATCTCTACTCCTCACAGCAGCTCTTCAAAACTTCTTTCCTTGACTACGTTTCTCTTGAGAAATGGCTTTGACTAAGATAAAACTCAGACTATACATACCTTCAGATTCTCACTGAACCTCTAATAACCACCACCTTCAAAACTGTCATCTAAGAGAAAAATATTTCTTCTCCCACTCAAGACATTCATTCATTCAACAATCACTGAGGCTTACTATGTTCTAATAAACACTGCACTATATGTTGGGAATATTAGAAATAAAGGAGATGAAGACCTACCCACAAGAAGCTTAAAATCATGTTAGGTGAGGTGAAGTGAGGTCGACCTCTGAATGAATTATAATTCAATGTGCACTATGGTATAATGGTAGAAATATGCACAAGACATTATAAGATCATGGGTATAAAAGCCACCTGACTCCACCTTCATGGGAAGGAAAGGAAATGTCACAAGGAACATTCTATATTTTTGTTGTTGTTGTTGTTGTTACTGGGGATTGAACCCGGAGGTGCTTTACCACTGAGCCACATTCTCAGCCCTTTTTATATTCTATTTTGAGACAGAGTCTTGCTAAGTTGCTTAGGGCATCTCTAAGTTGCTGAGGTTGGCCTGGAACTTGAAAATCCTCCCATCTCCTCCTCCCAAGTTGCTGGGATTATAGGTGTGCACCACCATGCCCAGCATGAGGAAAATTCTGAATGGGGTGTTGCTTGAGCTAAGAAAGATATTAGTCATTCACTAGGCAAAATTGGGGTGGGAAGGATATAGGAGAGCCAAGGATTGGTGGGTAGAATAGAGGAAGAGTGTAGGAACTGGGTATAAGTAAAAGCATGAAGTCATGTCCACATCACAAGTGACCTCAGACTCAATATGTTTTTTCAAGCTTTTTTCTTTTATAATTTTTATTCCAGTGTATTGCATCACAATCTGTTTGGTCTCCAGAAATGGAGATTTCTTTGATTCTTTCCGTTCCCTCATCCCCATCCTTCAATTTGTAATTAACTTCCATTTTTTTTTCCTTACCGCATCAACATTTCCTGGGTGCCTCTTCTTTCTCCAGCTTTGCTCAGAGTGAGTACAATGATCTTATAATTGACTTCACCCCAGTACTCTTTCTAGGGTGATCATTCTAACACGCATAACTGATTACAACTGCTCAACCCTGGACTGCTGTACCAGCATGATAGGAAAAAACTCTGTCATAGGACCTCTGCTCCCACCTCTTATCATTCCAGGCACATTCTAGCACAACAAACTAGCAGCAATTTCTTTAATGTCCCTTATTATTGCATGCCTGTGTGTCTTTTCTCCCACAGGTACAAAAACATTTTATGTAGCCTCTTAATATAGGCACATTTTCATACAGTCTAAAGCAAAAATCAGGCATTTAGCTTTTCCTCTTTTTTTTTTCCTTTCCCAAATAATGACTATAACAACCCCTCTTAACCCATTCCTCTTCCTTTCCCTTTTGATTTTCTCAAGAATGATGATGACACCAATGACCAACAGATTGACTCCCCATTTTAATCTCCTCTCAAGCGTCTTAAGTTTCCTTCTGTGTCTTGCTTCAAGCTGCATTGCTTCTGCAGATTTAAATGTCGTTTGGTTCATTTATATGCCTCGGGCACACCTATTTATCTTTCATGACCACCACCTCATCTCTCCTCTCTCAGCAAGTTCTTCCAGTCACCCATCTAAGTCAATAAATGAAAGAAGGAACAAAATATAAAGCAAAGAGCCTCACCCAAAGACCCTGATGCTTTTGAATTCACCACAGAGCAAGATCAAAGTTTTTAAATTCACCTAGAAGGTCCTTTCGGCCAACCCTGGGAGAATTTACCCTATTCCAAGAGTCAGGATCTGACAAAATAAGATCTTGTATAAACCTGAAAAGTGGTTTAATTTACTAACAAGTGAGACCTTGAAAGTGTTAAAAGAATTTATTGGGAGGTCGTTGGACTGAGGTGGCTCCAGCACTCGGAATTTCTACTTAAATAAAATCAAACTCAGTGAAAACAAAGGTCATATTCTGGGAAAATGAGTCCTAGGTTTGGCTAATCATAAGCAGCCAACAAAAACAACAAAAAGAGCCTTTCCACTGGAGTGACACAAATGAGGCTTCACCTCCATTTTAACCCATCAAATATTGGCTTTGCTCCCACATTCCTCTTGTGAGAACCTTCCTCTCCTGCTCCTCGGGCAGAGCCTGAACCACTTCTGGTTTAGAGCTGCTGTCCATGCATCAGGAGTGCCATCATAGGACCATGGGAACCCTGAAGGGTGAAGTGTCCTATGGGAGAAGTTGGCACAGTGGGGCACGGAGAGTGGTGGGAAGAGATGAGAATCCCAGTTATAGTAATGGAATCTCAAGGGAATGCTATTGTCTCATTCCTGCACCTTCCTATATATGTCCTAAGAAATTAGATTTTTTCCCTAACTAAAAATTTAAGTTAATATATACAGTACAAATTCCTATAGTTTAAAAAGTGTATTCAATGAAAGTATCTCTCTGTTCTACCCTAGTCCTCCATTATTCTTTTCCAGAGGGAGCTACTGTTACTAATTCATATATATGTCACTAAATTCATATATATATATACATATATATATATATATATATGTAAATGCACATACACAAGGATACATGCAAATATATCTAAATGGATTGAAATATAATATATATCTATGTCTTTTATTCTTTCAAAAAGTTTTAATGTATATATATAATATATAATGCATATACATTATGATTTTTTGACCATAGCTTTAATGATGTGCATCAAATTATTTTAACATTTTTTTCAGTTACAAATACTTCTATTTATATACAAAACTGCGTGTGTATTACCCCATCAGTCAAGAATAGTAGGATGTTGGAGCTGGGGCTATTGCTCAGTGGTAGAGCACTTGCCTCTCACATGTGTGGCACTGGGTTCTATCCTCAGCACCACATAAAAATAAAGAAATAAAATAAAGGCATTTTGTCCATCTACAACTATAAAAAAAATTAAAAGACAATAGTAGGATGTTAACTATCTTATGTAAGAATAAAAATTTAATATTAATAGACCCACCACTACCACTTACTATTAACTTTAAACATAAATCTTTATTTTTAAACATAGTTTATAACATCATATCATCAAGAAATCTCTATTTTAGCTAATAGCCAGTATTATTATACTTTATCATTATTAGTACCATTATTTTATTTTTAAGAACACTTAAAATAAGCTCTAGTCTCTTTTAAATTTAAGTGTAGAATACTGTGAGACATTATTTTTTAAACTGCTTCGTAATATACTTACTATATCTGCATGATATTTGTTTAACCAGTCCCAACTGATGAATATTTAATTTGTTTTTTAGTCTATTGCTATTTCAAGCAATGCTGCAATGAAAATCCCTGTACATATGTGACCAGCCAGAGTCCAGCAGAAGCAGATGGTACATCCAAAGCTTAACTGAGGAGTTTAATAATGGAGGGACTATTTACACAGTGGCTGGCAGGATTAATGAAAGCAATAATAAATAGTTAAGCCCTCAGGAACTAGCAACAGTGAGACGCCTTCACCACCCCTAGGCACAAGGGACAGGGAATAGTACAGTGTCACTAGAGGTCTGAAGACCATAACCATGGGAGAGGCCACACAAAAGGAGCTATGGTCATAGGCTGAGGAATGCAGCCACTGCCAAATCTGCAGCCATCAGAGTAGTAGTAAGAGGAATAAATAACCTACTCACTGTTCTCTTGCCCTCTGGTTTCCTGCTGGTACTTCCCAACCCCTGAATATAAGTGGAAAACAGAGGAGGGAGGGAATCAAGTGATATAGTCCATGGAGATCAGTCTGCAAAGCACAGGGTAGGAAAAGTAGGGTTAAAAATCTATTTAGTTAAGTGGAGAGTAATCAGTCTAATATTTTTGTGCACAAATGTAAATTTTCCTAGAAATGGAATTTCAGTGTCACCATGAAGGAAAGAACTGGCTGAGCATCCCCTTCACATCTGCTCTACTCTTCCACAGTAATGCAATGCTTAGTCATGCCTGTGGCTACTCACAATTAAGACTACATCTCCCAGTTTCCTTTGCAGCCAAAGTGATGTAAGAGGAAGTGCCACGTGGCAGCTTCTGAGAAACTTCTCCCAGGACAGCTGACTTGTGCCTTTTGTCCTTTATGTTTATTCTTTCCTGTAATTCATGTTCTTCATAGGGTCACACCATTTGGATGGGAAGTTGCAATCTGGAAGAAGACAGGTTCCTGAGGGTTTCATAGAGTAAAAGCTACCCTATTGGTTTTGAATGAGATACCTCTAGATAGCATTTTGGGGGAGATAAATTAACATTTTTAACTTGTTAAGCCATAGTTATTTTATTTTTTGTGTTGTATAGCTGAACCTAAACCTAACATATACAATGGGTATAAGAATTTTGAATTATTATAGATGTTATGAAGTTGGTGATTGATTTTTCAAATTTAAAATATTTAATTGATAAATAAAACTTATATAACTTCAAGGTGTACAATGTGATGATTTAATATACATAGATATTGTGTTGTGTGGATTACCTCACTCAAACTAATTAATATATTCATTACTATGATAGTTAACATTTTGTGTCTGTGTGTGTGTGTGTGTGTGTGTGTGTGTATGTGTGTGTGTATGTTATTTTAAACTTAATTTTTCAGACTCTCTGGGTTTGATCCCAACTTCTCCATTTACTAGACATATGATCTTGAATAAATTTCTTAATCTTTTCCCTCTTCCAGTGCTAGAGATTGAACCTAGAGCAAGTACTTCAAGGTTGAGCTACATCCCCAGGCCTTCTCTTTTGTTTTTTAAAAGCTCTTCAGTGTGTTATGGAAACTAGTCTTCAGTCAGTTATGAGTGATGCAAATGTTTTCCCAAGTTTTCATTTGCCTTTTGACTTTTTTCCTATAAAATTTTTTAAAATTTTAATATAGTGAAAGTGATGTTTCTTTCCCATTATAATATCTGACCTTAATGTCCCCTTCTTAGAGAGAGCTTTCTCACTTTGGATTATAAAAATAATTCCCTTGTGTTTTCTCCTAGGAATTTATAGCTTGATATATATACATTTCCCCTTCTGGAATTTAATTTGGGGGTAGACAGTGAAGAATGAATTGAAGTAATTCTTCAGACAGGATGGAGGGTTAGCAAAAATAATGAGTCCTCTAACAATAAATCCTACAGTGATAATTGACTATCTTCCCCACAATGGATACATTTTAAACAAAGTATGCCAGGAACCATTCTGCATGAGCTATTTGGATATTCTGTCTCCTCAGCTTTTTCTTCTTTGTGGAAAACACAGGGATTATTTCTCATAGCATTTTGTATTTCCAGGGTAGGGTCCTATCATGTCTAGCAGGTTGCAAAACTGCCATTCATGTATCATATCACCTGGTTCTCACTTACAGGTAATAGTTGCAATTTCTTCCTCTGTCACTAGGGCCATCATTCTGTGTTCAGTGATTAGGTAGTAAAGTCAGAGAATTTCATATCTGTGCTAAGAATGACCCATCTGTGGACATGTGCAGTCAGGTACTGTTCATGTGTCATAGCCAAGGAGAGACTGAGCCATCAGGCTGGGACATACCTACCATTCTGCTCCACCCACGTCTTTTTTCCAGGTGGCCTGGAAAAAATTAATTCAACAGGCAGTTTATCATCATGGTTGAAAACACAAACTTTAGAGTAAAAGGTTTAGCATTTGTATTTCTGAAATGCTCATGAGTTTCTGGGCCAAGGGCCCAGTTTACTTAACCTTTATGTACTTTGGATTCTCATCTGTAAAATCAGGATTATGATATAATGTGGAGAGTAAGTGAATAAATATACATAAAGTGCTTAAAAGCTGTTTGGCAACAAGTACTCAGTAAATATTAAAAAGGCCTTTCCCGAATCCAGACTATGAAATGATTCCCTTGTGTCTTTTTTTAGGACTTTACAGGTTCATTTATATAAAAAGTATAAAGTTATGCTGGGCCTGGTGGCACACGCCTTAACTTTTCCTACTCCAGTGACTCAAGAGGCTGGCGAGCAGGATCACAGGCTCAAGCCAGCCTCAGAAACTTAGCTAGTCCCTAAGAACTTAGTGAGACCCTGTCTCAAAATTAAAAAAAAAAAAGAGAAAAGGGATGGGATTGTAGCTCAGGGTTCAATGAGTTTAAAAAAAAAGCATAAAATTATGACAAATTTTATAATGTGTAATAAGTGTATAACATTATTACAAAAATCAAAACATTTATATAGAAGAGTATTATAATTTTATAAATAATAGTCCTATTATTTGAAAAATGCATTTACTTTGAAATGTCACCTTTATCATATACTAAATTTACATATGTGTTTGAGTCTAGTTCTGGGTTCTTTATCATGATTCATTCATCTAGTTTAAGCACATTTGCTTTATCATATGCTTTACAAAAATCCTTTCTGGCTAAACTTGAATTTTGATATTTATATAAAACTTGTAGAAGCAACTGCTCTGATTTTTAAAAATCAATATTTTATGGGGGTTGTAACAAATTTGCAAATTGATTTAGAGAGGATTTTCAATCTTAACTTTTCCTACTCCAGCAAAAGGAATAGCTCTCCATTTATATTCAAGCTGTTTTTCCTTTTATCTCCCAGAAAATTTTAAAGTTTTCTGAAAGTCTTTTTTGAGGGAGTTTCTGAATGTTTCTTGTTAAGTTTATTTCTATTTCCTTTTTTTCCTTCAACTTTGTCTCCTTCTCTTCCTTTTTTCCTCTTCTTTCTTCTTCATCCTCCTCCTCCTGTTGGGGTAAATGGCACCAACTCTTTTATTATATTTTCTAACTACTGCTTGTTTGTTGCCTCTTCATGAGCCCAGAGCCTTATATAACTGGATCAGAGAAACTGAAGAAAATCTTCAAATCTCACTTCCCCTGTTGCAATTATAAATAATCTCTATATTTGGGAAAAGATAAAGTGAGTCAAGAGAATACATGTTCTAGAAGAGAAGTCTTGGAGGGAAAAGTAGCCTGAAAGGGCAAAAGGAGAGGGAATAACTGTGACTGAGAAGAAGGCTGAATGTCAGTGAGGTGATCGGGGTGACACCCCAAAAGCAGGGTAATTAGGACTAGCAAAAATAAAAACTGGTTGCATAAAGCTAAAGCAGTGTACAGGCAAATTTATGGTGTTGGATGCTTTCCATTATTTTAAAAGATTGAATTGAAATTGAAACATTCTACTCAAGATAAATATAAAACTCAGAAATTATAAAATTGAACATTAATAGCATTTGAGATAAATATAAGGACTAGGTTATTGGGGGAAAAATTCCAAAATAAAACCATGGAGAGCCCAAACTTGAACACGGGTAGCTTGATGCTACAGGACATGCTTTAGGGCACGATTTCATGCCTCTGCATGCCATCACATGCCACTTGTGTGTCATTGGGTAGCAAGTTCCTTAGCTCCTGCTTCTTCAGTTTGCTCTCCATGTTCTAGCTGTATGACCTCAGTAAGACATTTTATCCTTTTTTTTTGACATTTTTTCCTTTTATGATTCAGTTTCCTAAGGTAGGACAGAGAATACATAAAAAGGCATCATTCAAAGTAACTATAAATGCAAACTGAACCAAATAATACAACAAAGGAATTAGCCCTGTATGACCAAATTGAGTTGAACTGAGGAATACAAGCATTTAACTTATCATCTTAATATATCCAATAACAAATAGCTCAACTATATAATCCAATCATCTCAGTGGATCATTGCAATACTATTTCTAAATAATCAAACAAACCTTAGATGTTTAAGAATAGCAATTTTTTTTATTTTAAATAAGCAACCAACATCATACTCCATGGTAAATTAACTGGAACTAAGGGTCTCTACTCTCTGAACATAAAAACTACCTGGGGAACTCTAAAAAACTACTGATGCCTGAGACCTACTGTAAGCCATTTAAATTGGAATCTCAGGGGGTTGGGATACCAGCAACAAAGTAGGAATTACTACTCTAGAAGAAAGCTGATTAAAATCAAGAATTAACCAGGATATACACTAAGATCATTTTTATTAACATTATTTTGGAAGTTTTGGTACATACACTAAAACATAAAGCAAAATATTGGCCAGAATCATCATTTGGAACCAATGAGATTATATACTTGGAAAATGCCAGGAGAATAAACTGAAATACTTGAAGAATTTTTAAGAGAATCTACTTATCTACAAAGGGAACTTTCCAGTGAATCAACAACAATATAAGTTAGAAAGTGCAAAGATAAGGATTTTATTTAGATTGTTAACAAAAAGAAACTAGAACTAACAAAAATACGTGGAACCCAAATAAAGGATATCGTAAAACTCAGTTTTGATAAATAGCCTAGGTCTGTGGTTTTAAAACTATGTTCTGAAGTCCAAGGACGAGGATGACCTGGTATGCAATGACGAATGGTCCTGAGCGATAGGTTCACGGGGACCTCCACCCTGCTTAATCTGAAGCAGTTCCATTTTCTTGTTTTCAGTGTTGACTTTCTGCATAAATTTTACTTGAAGAAAGGTGGTGACTACTAACGACAACTTAATGTTTAAAAATATGTAGCCTGAACAAAACGTTCCTAAGGAGTATCTGATTCTCTTTTTTCTCCAGGGAAAGTTTGTTCATACTTTTATTTTATGTTTATTGAGTATCCAAATGGTACAAAATATACCGACATTTGTTGAGCACATACTAGGTGCTTTGTTTGGTTCTTTACATACTTTACCTCATTTAATCATTGCCAATACCATTTGAGGAAGGTATCACTCCTGTTTTATACGTAAGGAATAATATTCAAAGTAAAATCTTGCCCAAGTCTCTCCAGGTGGTGCAAGCCACAGCTATAATTTGAGAGTTTTTTTTATGTTTGACTTCAGAGATCCTTTTCTTTTCCCAACATACCACACCATGTCTTAGCACATAGGAAATTCTGATGACATTTGTGACCCATTAAAATATTGACAAGGATGCTGACACTGGTAAATGTGGAAAATGAACTGGAAAAGATG